AATCCGGAAGTCAATCCACTTTGCCCGGATTGTGGTGAATATCGTTCTCTGAGTCGCTTGCTCCGGCAGTGCCCTGCGTTACACGACTTTAACCGAGGAGTGTATTGGACGACGCCAATAGCAAACTCCGGACAGGACGTCCAGCTTCAGGTGGTCCAGACGCCCCGTGAACGTGCTGAGAGGCATGGCCTCTCTGTTCCGACATGGGACTGGCCGACGGCTGGGAGGGGACGCACTTAGTTGGCCCACTGCCTGGCTTCTCGGTACGAAAATAAAGTTGTTTGTCTGTCTGTTCTATAATATGACATGTTTCATTTCTTTGTTTTGAATTTTTAAGTGTTGTAACTCGCTCCCTTCTGTAATGCTTCGGTGATTGTGAGTAACAAATAAATGAATAAATAGATGAATGAACAAATAAATAAATAAATAAATAAATAAATAAATAAATAAATAAATAGACTGGCCTTACGGAAGTAGGTGCAAAGTACGTTAGGGGCTTGGCATGTCGGATCTCTCTGGTCGCCATGGTGTGTGTCATACGTTCGTGGTGCACCGCAATAACGGATATGCGTCACAGGGGGTAAATCCCACTCATCGTCCCCGGTCCTTTAAAAATGACGTAAGCAACAGTTAGCCCGACCAATAGCCGACGACGTCAGTGCAGCTGAAACACCCTTGCCTACACGCCGTAGGGATCCGAAAGCGGGCATGCGAGGAAGCAGCACCACCTTAGTGTTAACTGCATTCCGATGCAGTTTTTCGATGAGGGGCATGCAGTGGAGCAGAAATGGCCTTTCCCTGCATGGCCAGTTTCAGGCTTGGTGCCATCAAAGAAATCATTCTGAAGACACTGCACGCATCGCTGCTCACCAGGTTTCATGTCAGTATCTGAAACACTTTTCTACGAGTGCTTTACTGCTCCCCAGATTTTTGATAATTTATTTCTGCTCTAGTTTGCTAATGAGGTGTTTTCAGGGGCGAAGCTTTCTAGGCGGTGGGTCTTTCCCTCCTTTGTAGTAGTAGTAGTAGTAGTAGTAGTAGTAGAAGTAGTAGTAGTAGTAGTAGTAGTAGTAGTAGTATGTAGCCACCTATAGTTTATGAGTTGATTAATAGACATAGACGCATAGTTAGAAATTTTTTTCGGGGGGGGGGGCACCTTGATTTCGGGAGGGACTAAAAATTGCCATTTGTGACTCTCTATACCGCATAAAAATTTTTGGGGGGCCCCCTGGCCACGCCTATGAATAGATGGCGTCTGTATATGTCCTTGGGAATAATATTGTCACGGGTATAGATTGGTACCTCAGGCACGGGTGCAGAAATGACGCAGAAGAAATGAAGACGACAGTGTTGTTGGGGGGCTGTGTCTCGACTGACTTATGGTCTTGCATCCTTGCACACTGTATGCAATGCTAGCCCAACCAGCGTTAACGAATAAATACTCCCCGTTACATATTTTTGGTGGAAGTGCTGGGTAACATTCCAACTCTGGATCTCCGTAGCGGACGTCAGCTTCGTCCAGCCACGATACCTGAAGGCAGTGCGCCGTCCGTTCAGTCTACGCCTGCTCCGTCACCTGTGATCTCTTCCCATCTTCTCGATCCAGGTACATTTTGTGCCACCGACACAATGGACGTTGACGAGTGGCTCACCTTATACGAACGCGTCAGCAAGCAATACAGGTGGGATGAGACGCTTATGCTGGCCAACATCATCTTTTACCTGTGAAGTGCTGCACGTGCCTGGTACGAGGCGCACGAGGAAGACCTGATGAGTTGGGACGTGTGCAAGCAGAAGCTCCGTGACTTGTTCGGCCGGTCAGTTGCTCGACAAATGGCAGCCAGACAGGAACCTGCTTCACGAGTTCGATCTTCCACCGAGTCGTACGTCACATATATCTAAGACGTGCTCGCCTTGTGTCGGAAGGCCGACAAAGACATGACCGAACTAGACAAGGTCAGCAGTGTGTTGACGGGCATAGCTCACGATGCCTTCAACATGCTAATCTGCAAGAACTGTACCACCATTGACCCAGTTGTCAGTGAATGTCGGTTGTTCGAACAAGCCAAGAGCAGGAGAATCACTCAACCCTTTTCCCGACTCCAGAACACCACTGCGACTTCTTCCTGCGAAGATCCTGTGGCACTACGTCCATTCGTGAATCCTGCCAATGTCACAAGAATTGTCCGCCAGTAGCTGGAAGCCATGGTTCCTTCGGCTTACCAACCCCCTGTGCGTGACAACTTAGCCCCAATATCTCTTATTCAGACTGTTGTGCGACAAGAGTTTGCCAACATGGGCGTCCTAGTTCCCCAAAACTCCAGCCAACCACCGCAGCCCATCAATACTAACGCTCATAACGCTCACTACCACGCCGCCCCACTTGTTGCTGCTGCCGCGTCGGTCCTGCGGTTCTCATCGCGCTACCGAAATCCACCTGAGTGGCGCACAGAAGATGATCGACCGATATTCTTCTCTTGCCATTGTGTACGCCACATTTCCCGCCACTGCCGCAAAAGATGGTCTTTCCAGCCACGTTTTCTAGACGACCACCGACAGGAACGTGGGCAGTATTCGCCACCTCGTTTTGCGATGACCACCTTCAAGACCACCCACCTAGCCGTTTTACGATACGCTCCGAACTATCCTACGGCGATGTCGTCGTCCAGAGAACCTGGTTCAGCCGCTCGCCGTCGCGCCCAGGGTCGCGAGTCGCGCTCCTATCAACGCCGTCGCTCCCCCTCACTGGCGTATTCTGGGCAGTTCTCGGGAAACTAACAGATGCAGCTCCTGGAGGTGGCGCTGCATTGACAACTCGGACGGAAAAACCTCTACCGACCACTAATTCCAGACGAAATTTACTTGGTGTTCTTATCGATAGCCTGACCGTTACAGCTCTTATAGACACTGGTGCCCACATATTGGTTATGAGTTCACGTCTTCGATTCCACCTGAAAAAAGTTCTTACCCCTGCCATGTCTTCGACTGTGCGCGTAGCCGACGGCAGCCGAACATCAGTTCTTGGTATGTGCACTGCCCACGTCACTGTTGCCGGCCTTCATACTTCAGTCCTCTTCGCTGTTCTAGACGCTTGCCCACACGACGTGATTCTCGGCATTGACTTCTTGACCGCGCATTCAGCCCTCATCGATTGCTCAACCGGCACTTTACAGCTAGAGCTGCTTTTGTACTCTGATGTCCCTCTTGCAGCTCGCACGCGGCTACGGTCCGTGGAGTGTCTACGATTACCGCCTCAGGCCGCTGTGTACCTTGCTATGCCGCCATTGCTAGCTGTTCCTGATGGCGACTACTTGGCAGCTTTACTCATTGACCTGACCCTTTCCCGGAACATCATACTTCCTCATACTATAGTGATGATTAGCGACAAGACGCTTTTCCCTGTCTTCAGCTTCTCCATGTCGACCCAGGTCATTCCTCAAGCTTATTGCCTTAGCAGAACTCTCCACTCTGGAGCAATGTACTATTTCATCTCTCACTCCTGACATAAAGACCGCAGCCGAACTTGTCGCAGCCGCCCAGAATGGAGCTTTCTTTGACAAAATAATATCAAACAACCTGTCGCCGTCCCAAGCTGAAGCGCTCCGTGGTATTCTAGTTTGTTACCTCGTCATCTTTGATATCGACGACCGTTTCTTGGGCCGCACGAGCATCGTAGCCCACAGTATCGACACTGGCGACGCCAGTCTCCTTCATAAGCGTCCGTATCATGTGTCTCCTTCAGAGCGCCAAATAATCCAGAATGAGGTAGAGAAAATGCTCAACAAAGACGTCATAGAGCCTTCAATTAGTCCTTGGACATCACCTGCTGTGCTTGTTAAAAAGTAGGACACCTAGTGGTTCTGCGTCGACTATCGCCACCTCAATCGAATAACCAATAAGGATGTCTATCCTCTACCTCGAATTGATGATGCGTTTGACGGCCTTCAAGGTGCCAAGTATTTCTCTTCCCTGGACCTACGATCTGGATATATGCAAATTTCAGTCGATGACCGCGAGAAGACGGCATTCATAACACCCGACGGGCTTTATTAATTTGAAGTCATGTATTTTGGGTTGTTCAATGCGCCAGCAACTTTTGAAGGCATGATGGACTCCCTCCTTCGTGGTTTTAAAGTGTCTACGTGCCTGTGCTATCTAGACGATGTCGTCGTTTTCTCGCCAACCTTTGAAGGCCATCTTCCACGTCTGTCAGCCATTCTTGACGCTTTTCGCTGTGCTGGCCTCCAGCTTAACGCGTATAACTGCACCTCTGGACGTTGTCAGATAAAGCTACTTGGCCACCTTGTTGACGCTACTGGTGTACGAACCGACCCTGATAAAGTCCGCGCTGTGCGCTAGTTCCCGGTTCCACGTTCCACGCAAGATGTCCGCAGCTTTTTGGGGCTCTGTTCATATTTCCACCGTTTTCTCAGCAACTTCGCGGAAATCGCTCGGCCCCTCCCGGATCTTACGTGGTTTTTCCTGGCGTGAAGACCAAAAACATTCCTTTGCGTCGTTGACTTCTGCGCTCACATCACCACCTGTGTTGGCTCATTTTTTGCCCAGCCGCTGGAACAGAGATTTGCACCGACGCAAGTGGCCATGACATAGGGGCAATACTCGCACAAATGCAGAATGGCACAAACCGTGTCATAGCACACGCTAGCCGCCTACTTTCGCAGTCGGAAAGGAACTATTCAGTTACTGAGCGAGAGTGCATGGCTCTCATCTGGGCTATCGCACAATTTCGTCCGTACCTATGTAGACGCACGTTTGCAGTCATCACAGACCACCATGCGCTCTGCTGGCTGTCAACCCTTAACCCCACAGCGCCCAACGTATCAAATATGATACGGCGAATTCAAACGTCCCTTTATGGAAGAGATCGAAACTGAATCCCCGAAGGCCGCTGTAGGGTGCTCTGGACATGTTGAAAAGTGTTTTCGCTTGTAGCTGCTTCCGATTCTTACCACCAGAGGCCTGCGAGCACAGTTGGAAAAATGGCGGCCGCCAGCAGCACGCGCGCTGGAATACCATGCCGAAATTTCTATTCCAGGAAAGGTAAGCAATTGTTCATTTATGGCAGCGACAGTATCGATGCTGTTCTGTGTACGTTTCCGGATCTTTATACGTAATTGCCTGCCCTAGAATGTAGTTCTACGCTGCATGACAACGTCGCGAATTTATCCGTATCATATATGATACAGTGGGCTTTCGTGAAGCCTTCTTTCTTGCCGTGGGTTTCTTGCCCTGGTGACTCGTGTGCCTTGATCGCGACACGATATCGCGCTTCCTTTGCATTTTTAACGCAATATTTTTCTCTGCACAAGACGAAGTGATACAATTTGACCGCGCAGTTACAGTAGTTGTGTTCACAATTCACTGATATTCTCAAAGACAAAAACTGCGCTTCGCCGCGTACGTTCACCATTGATCACAGTTTGTTTTTATTTGTTTTAGGTGGTCCCATGAAGGATGTCCTCGAACGTGTCGCTCCAGGGGATGATGTGAGTGACTTCAGCGACCTTTCAGAAAGTCACGAAGAGGAATGGACCGCACCAAGTCCCGGCGCCCCTGATCACTCAAGTGAAGATGAAGAGGCGGATGACTTCTGTGGCGGTTTCGCTGTCGCATCTTCTTCTCCTCCTGAAAGAAACTGGGAGAAAGCCTTGCTCGAGATAGGCCACCCAGAGTTTTCGGGGACATTCAGCGAACCGAACGACTTGGAAACCCCGATCGTGATTTTCAGGCGGCTTCTAACAGACGACATGCTGGCCATTCTGGTCGACCAAACAAACCTTTACAGCACAAAGAAGTATGGCAAATTTGTGAACACAAGTGTCCCCGAAGTTGAGCAGTACATTGGCATGTACTTGAAAATGGGCCTCGTCCAAATGCCAAACGTGAGATGCTACTGGGAGCAAGGCAGCAGGCATTCGCCCATAGCAGATACCATGCCAAGGAATCGCTTCCTGAAGTTGATGGAATGTCTACATGTTGTTGATAACATGCAAGTTCCTGAGCAAGAAAAAAAAGACAAAGTGTGGAAGCTCCGACCTTGGATTGTAGCATTGCAACGAAACCTTGAGCAAATTGAGCAAGAGGAATATAATGCGGTCGACAAAATGATGGTGCCCTTTATGGGAAGAAGTACACTAAAGCAATATATGCCGAACAAACCGGTACCATGGGGCTTCAAGCTGTGGGGCCGGGCTGGAGCAACAGGTATCCTATACCAGTTCGATGTGTACCAAGGGAAGGGTGACGGTAACTATACCTTTGGACTGGGTGGCGATACCGTCCTGAATATGTGTAGCAAGCTGCCCTCTGATGAGGGCTTCAAGGTAGCTGCGGATAATTTCTTCAGCTCTTTGGAGCTGGTTGAGGAGCTCTCTGGTCGCGGGATTCAATATGTCGGTACTCTGCGCCAAAACCGGCTCAAAGATTGTTGTCTCTTGAGTGAAAAAAACCTGAAGCCACTTGTGCAAGGTGCCTGTGATCATCGTGTTGACAATTGCACAGGTATTTCTGTTGTGCGCTGGTTCGATAGAAAAGCAGTGACATTGGTGTCGAACTTTGTGTCATTGGAGCCTGTCGAAAAAGTCAAGCGGTATGACCGCAAGGCCAAAGTACATGTTGATGTACCAGGACCTGCTATCGTTGCAGTGTACAACAGTTTCATGAGTGGTATTGACCAGCACAATTATCAAGTTGCCCTCTATAACTACAACATTAGATCCAGGCGCTGGTACATGTATATTTTCTACCACACGTTGTATATCTGTGCGGTAAATGCGTGGAATATCCACAGGCGTCAGTGTGGACAGCTGGGAAGAAAGGCAATGAAGCTTAGAGTATTCATTGCAGAGCTCTCAAAAAACTTGATGCTGTGCGGAAAGACTAGAAGAGGACGGCCCGCTAGCCTCCCATCATCTGCCTCAATGAAAAGGAAACTAGCGCCGAAGCAGCCCCAAAATGATGTAAGGAAAGATGGTGTTGGCCACTTTCCCGTCATAACAACCAAGAGTCTGCGATGCAAGCACTGTTCTCCGAAAGAAAACACATTCAGTTCTGTTATTTGTTCTAAATGTGAGGTGACACTTTGCCTAAACAGAGAAAGAAACTGCTTTTTTGATTTCCACAGGCAATAAGTTCCCGCTTTACTCCACTGGCCTTACGTAGGGAAAAAGCCCACTGTATCAAATATGATACGGACTACGGTTGTGCAATACTTATATATTTCTGCAATATTTTTGAATAGGTTGGTTCATAGTGATCTAAGAAGTCAATAAACAAGTTATCGTATTTTTCCTTCATGTGCTTCTGTGTCCGGGCTTTCCGGGGTTAAGGATCGTACAGGAAGACTTGGGCGATGGGCATTGCGATTGCAGAAGTACAAGTTTTCTATAGTGTACAAGTCTGGTAAGCTTCACAGCGATGCCGACTGCTTATCTCGACACCCTGTTGATCCACCTAACTCCTCAGAGTTGGAAGCTGATGCCAACATCCTAGCCATAACATATTTTCTTCACATAGCCGACGAACAACGCCGATATATATCGCTGCTATCGATGATTGAACGTCTTCAATCCGGTCATAAAGGCCCTTCACTGAGTCTGTTTTTTCCTCAAGACAACGTTTTGTACCGCCGCAACTTACTGCCCGATGGCGCGGAACTTTTGCTCGTCGTCCCGCGTCATCTGCGCAAGAACATCTTGCAAGAACTTCACAACGCCCCAACTTCTGGACATTTAGGTGTCTCCAGAACCCAAGACCGCGTCCGCCGACGGGTGTTCTGGAAGGGCCTATATTGTTCCGTTCGCCGCTACGTTGCAGCGTGTGACCTGTGCCAGCGTCGAAAGAAGCCTACGTCTCTGTCTACGTCTCTCCTACGTCCTACGTCTCTCCTGCTGGTCACCTTCATCTTATTGAAGTCCCAGCCGAGCCGTTTCTTCGGGTGGGTTTAGATTTGTTAGGTCCCTTCAAAACATCAGGTCCCTTCCGTCAACGTCACCTTGGCGGCTGGGAGCTTTCGAAACGTTCGACACGGATAAGAGGGATGGAATGCGCTGCAACGCGACGAACACGGCCTCTTGAGATCCACTTTTCACCACACGAATCTTGGGGTGGTGGTAAATACATTTGACAACAAAAAAGGAGGAATGCAGCAACCGCCTCATAAGACGACGGCACCCACAACGAATAGGTGGGGATCCCTAGTACGGCAGCTAGGGATCCCCACCTTGGTTCAACGAGCCCAGGCCTTTTGGGCCTGAAGGTTACAGCAGCCAAGCAGGGTCGCCTCCCACGCCTCCCAGGAAGGGTACAGCAGGGTTGCATTGGCAGGCCCACTCCATGTCGTAGATGTCCGAAGACGTCTCCCCGCAGTGTGAGCAGCTGCCAGAAAAGGCGGGATCGAAATGTTTGAGGGCTGCCGGGCACAGCATAGTTTTTGTGAAGAGTTGGAGTGAAAGCCACTGCTCCGCTTTACTTAGGCTTTTGCATGGGCGTGGATAAATGCTGTGATCAAATTGGTAATAGTCCATAATTTTGCGGAAAGAATACACCGGATTAAATTCAAGGTCGTTCTAATCTGGGGAGGTAAGTGGGAATGCCCGGTGAGAGAGAGCGCGGGCGTCGGCGTCGGCTGATTCACTTATTTATTTTTTATTTATTTATTTGAATACTTTCCATGCCCGGAGGCGTTACAGAAAGGAGTGGGGGTTATACAACAAAAAGTAAGCGAAATGTTACAAGTGCTGCAAAATGGAGAGTGTGAAGTTTGCAGGGTCGATGAGGGATGCGGTGGCAGCGGAAAGGCGCTCCAGTCTTTGCTTGTTCTCGGAATGAAGGAATCACTGTAGTGGTTTGTTCGGCAAAATGGCACACCTAATTTAAAGCAATGATCGAAACGAGGTGAAATGTAAGAGGGGGAAGAGAGAAGGCTCTCTTTTAAAGATGGATTGTAATGATAAATTTTATGAAAAAGAGAAAGGCGAGAGCATTTTCGACGGAACGATAAGTCGGTTAGATTCAGAGTTTTTTTCATGGCTGTGACGCTGGCATGACGGAAATATTTGCACAAAATGAAACGGGCTGCACGGTTTTGAACGGCTTCTAGAGTGAGAGTTAGGGTTACTTGACCGGGATCCCAGATGGCGCATGCGTATTCCAGTTTAGAGCGTACTAACGTTTTGTAAAGGTTTAGTTTCACTGACATGGGTACGGAAGAAAAGTTTCGTCGCAAATATCCGAGCATGCGGTTAGCATTATTAGTGACGTATTCGACGTGTTTCTGCCAGGATAGATTGTTGGTAATGTTAAGCCCAAGGTATTTATACGAGTGCACTGATGATAAGGGAGCATCATTAAGAAGATACATGCAAGTGTTAGAAGCTGAAGTTTTTCGAGATACACGCATGCTTTTACATTTTGTTGAATTAAGTTTCATCCGCCAGTCACGACACCAAAGAGACACGTTATCTAGGTCATTCTGAAGTCTGATAGAATCAGTTGGGTTAGGTATATTGGAATACAGCACACAATCATGAGCAAATAATTTATTGGTTGAAAACTCAACACAGTTAGGAAGGTCGTTTATATAAATCAAAAATAACAATTCCCTTCGATTCCCATATGAGCAGCAACCCGTACTATACAGCGGGGTGCAGGGGTTCCCTGGTAGTCCGAACGTTGCAATTCACGATGTTTCGACAGGCCTTTCGAGAATCGAAGATGATGATTTTTAATCTAGGGTGGCAAGCGGCCAATGCAATGGCGGCTTTCTCCACATGGATTATGTCCCGGGCTCGAAACGTGAGCCCGTGAACTGTTTGGTTCTCGTGTACGACAGCGGCCGTTTACCAGCCCTTAGGGTGTGGGCCGGAGGCGTCAACGTAGAACACGCTGGGTTTCGGTCCATATTAGCGGGCCAGGGTTTCCGCCCACGCCAGGCGCCGACCATTGTGGTCTTTCTTTGTCATAATGATCGGAAGAAAATGCGCATGGAGGGCGCATCTCCACTCGAATAGGAGTTGAACGCGATCTTCCGTGATGCGAATGTGTTGTAGGTGTAGGCCGGCTAATAGGCGGCGCCCCGCTACCGTCTGCGAAAGTCGAGTGTACTGATTTGTGAGGTGGGCCTCTCGAAGCTCCCGAAACGTATTCACCATGCCCAGGCCTAGATGGCGCTGGTCAGAGGTGTTCACGGGGAGGTTGAGGGCGCGCTTTACAATTTTGCAAAGGATGACATCAAGTACATCCTCGTCTTGCCTCCGCAGGTGGAGGTATGGCGTAGAATATAAGGTTATACTGGGTACAAATGCATGTGCCAGCCGCAAGGCATCTCTGTACTGTAGCCCCCCGCGTTTATTAGACACCCGGCGGACCATGCGGCCCACCTGGTCACCCACCTTCCGGAGTTTGGCTAATGTGGTGTCTGACCGTCTGTTTTGATTAATAAAGAGCCACAGTACCCAGATTCCTTTTGTTCAGTGATTGGACCTGTCTCGAGTGAGAGTTCAATTTTGCCTTGCACTTGAGTGAGGGGCATATGTGCACGAATTCTGATTTGGATGGTGAGCACTGAAGCCTGCACTGGCGGGCATAGCAGTCGACTATGCTCGCGGCTTGCTGCAGGTTCGCCTCAATATCTCCGAGTGCACCCTGCGTGGCCCAGATGGCGACGTCATCGGCATACAACGCATGATGTGTACCGGGAACATCAGCCAGTTGAGCTGGCAGGTGCATCATGGCCAGATTGAATAATAAAGGAGACAGCACCGCACCTTGTGGTGTACCTCTAGTTCCTAAGGGGAAAGGGCCGTGCTCCTTGTCCTGTATTAATATGTAGGATTGTCTGTCGGTTAAGAACTGCTTAATGTATCCGAATGCTCTCAAGCCGCAGCCACTTTGTGTAAGGTTGTGTTAGAATTACCTCATGGATTACATTGTCAAACGCCCCCTTCAAGTCCGAGGCGAGTACAACCTTGTCGCTGTGAGGGCATGCAACAGGGTCTTGGATATCCCGATTAAGTTGAAGGACAATGTCTAGCACGGATCAGTATGGGCGAAACCTGTGCATCTAATCTGCGAAAATACGTTGATTTTCCATGAAATCAGACAAACGATCCTGCACCATCGCCTCCATCAGTTTGCCCGTACAAGACGATCATGGAAATGGGGCGAAGGTTGTCTGTGTTCACGGCCTTTCCAGTTTTTATTATAAATGCGACTAGGGCAGTCTTCCGCTGCATGGGGAGTGGAACTTCTCCTGACCGAACTGAGTTGAAGTAATCTAATAGTGATTCATAAGCCGGGTCAGGAAGGTTAGTTAACATTTTCACAGGTCCCGACCCGGAGTGATGCCACATTTCATTTTAGTCATGGGCTTTTCTAAGTGCGAAAAGCTTGAATGGGCGATCAAGTTCCACGTCCTCCGCACCCGCGTAGGAGTATGCCGATCCACGCGGGTCCTGTGTGGAGCAAAGATATTGGTCTCTCAATTTATGCGCCAGCTGGGTTGCATTACCTTGAAAGATATAGATTGTCCTTTGTAAGTGTTTCTGAGTTTCGGTGCGGGTCTGTGTTGGGTCTATGATCGCGCGAAGTATTTTCGCCGGACATCTGGCGCACTGCCGTGTTGCATTTTTTTCGCCCAGTTGGCGTATGCGAGTTGGGCCGCATACTCGGCCACCTTCAGGGTGAGCTCGGCAATTCGAGCTTTAAGTTTTCGGTTATGCTTTTGTTGGCGCCATATTCGAACAAAGCAATGCCGTGCTTCCCAGAG